TTCCTCATGCCTGACAAGCACCACAGAAAAGCCATTGACAACAAATACCCACGATACAATATCAGCGATAGTTGCAAATCAAACTTCGAAGTGGAGCTCTCCGGTCGTCCATCGGTTAAACCGCCATCCGAAGAACTCAATAGACACCAGAAGCAACTGGAGGAAGCAAGGCAATTATCGGAAAAAGCAACGACGGTCTCTGGCGCGGGCTCATCAAAAATGATGAATCTCGTTGACCTCAACTGCCCCACTGGACGCCTGCAGATCCCTTTCTCCTGATGCCACATATTGCAAAGTGCTCAAATCCCTTAAACGCCAGCTCATAAAGAGTTTGAGTTATTACCGCGAGAAGCGGTGGGTAGAAAAGTGTAGAGAGATAGAGAAAGCTGGGGTTACTAGTAACAGTTGCACTCTCTTCCGTTTACTCAAGAATTCGGGACCCAGGAAATCAGGCGNGACTCAGTGAGCACTGCACGGCAATCAAAATGTCAATCAAAACCACAGCAAATTCTGACTCACGATCAAATAAAAAACGCTGGATCTCCCCGACTTCGGTTGCCCTGCTGGACGTTCGCAAAGCCATTCCTTCGGATTCAAACTACAACAAAACGCGCAAATCCCTTAAATGCCAGATCACTATGAGTTTGAGGAGTAACTGCGAGAAGTGGTGGGTAGGAAAGTGTAGAGAGATAGAGAAGGCTGCGGCTATCGGTAATAGTCGAAATCTTTTCCGATTAATTAGGAGTACAGGTCCAAGGTAAGCAGGCGTGAGATAATTGAAGAGTCCCACGGCACACTGATCCATATTCAGCAACACCGTCTAGATCGAATGGAAGAACATTTTAGGGCACAGTTCAGCTTGCCCTCGTCAGCACGAGACTTCGCTACACCCGATTCAACTGTGCAAATACTGTCAGTTGACAGCAGTCCTCCATCTGAAGTAGAGGTTACTCGAGAAATAAGCTTTCTCCATGGCTTCCGGTCCCGACGGGCTGTACCCATCGATTTTTAAGGATGGAGGTCTAGCTTTGGTTTTTGGAGTTAACAAAACTCCTGGGTTCAGTGTGGGGAAAGGAACAGGTTCCAACCGAATGGTGTGAATCGGTGATCATACCGATTTACAAGAAGGGCGATAGGTCTTCTTGTGAAAACCACAAGGAATTAGTTTAATTAACATTGCCTCTAAACTTCTCGCCGGTATCATACTCCGTCGATTGTCTGCCGCTCGGGAAGAGTGCACACGTGAGAACCAGGCTAGGTTTAGACCTAGTCGAGGTTGTATCGACCACATCTTCAGTCTTCGTCAAATTCTAGAACACAGCCACTCTTTTCGTCGACCGACCATTTCCATCTTCCTCGACCTGAAAGCGGTTTTCGACTCCGTTGACTGCTCTAAACTATGGCGCTGCCTCGCTCTGAAGGGTGTGCCCGAGAAGTTTATTTCAACAATACAATCGCTTTGTGCTAATAGCCGTAGTTGAGTCCAGGATCACAGCACCTTTTCACCCAAGTTTATTACAGAAAGTGGTGTTCGACAGTGTTGTCCTCTCTCTCTGTTTCTATTTAACTTCGTGCTAGATTTAATTCTTCAAACAGTCCTATCCTCGTGCGAGGATAGCGGCATCGATTTACTCCCAGGAGGCAGATTGTGTGATCTATAGTATGCAGACGACCTAGTGCTACTAGGTGAAAATCCAGGTAAGTTGCAAGCTTTTCTGGATAGTTTGAGTGCTAGTGTAGCGATGTCCGGTATGCGCTTTGCACCTTCAAAGTGTAAACTGCTGCTCCAAGATTGGGTTGGCCCAGTCCCCAGCCTTACCCTGACCGGGGAAGTTGTAGAGAAAGTAGACAAGTTTTGTTACCTGGACAGCTATATCTCACCTGTCGGACGCATCACACATGAGGTGTCGGCGCTCATACAGAAAGCTCGGTTAGCATTTGCCAAGTTGAGACATTTGTGGCGCCGTCGCAATATCCGGTTATCTGTGAAGGGTCGAGTATATACTGCAAAAGTTCGGCCCAGAGATTTGGCCACTACGAGATCATGATTTAAGTGCATTGTTGGTGTTCGAACACCGCTGTGTACGTCGCATTGCACGAGCCTGGTGTGGAAACCGAACGAGCAATGCTGAGGTTTGGCGTAGATTTTTATGTAATCGCGGTTGTCCACTTGAATTGGTAGTCAACCTCCACAGATTACGCTTGTTGAGACATGTGCTAGGCATGTCAACAGATAGGTTACCAGGGTGACCGATGTTTGCCAAGTCAGGTATTGGGTGCTAAAAGGGCAAGGATAGTGAAAATTAGATGTGGCACGAGGGTATGAAAATCCTAACCACAAGACCTAGTCACATAGATTACACTGAACTCCCTAGGTGAAGGCTTTTAGATCTTGCTAACCAATGGTGAGAGATACTGAGTGATATGGTTTAGGGTCGTAAACAGTGGCTTTTTGACCATTTTCTCAAGTTCTTTGTAACCTTAGTCTACTGAAATTCTCCATTTTCTCCTCGACTCTACTTAAACAGTCCTCTGTTTCTTCTACTGCTCCATCCAAATGGGCAGCTGGTTATTTACTTTACAATCTGAAAACGAACGTGTGTCAACTGGACTATCAATTCAATCATGCGTTTCAATGCCTAATAGCGCCCCGTTCTGCTATTTAACTGTGCGTAATTGTCCTAGATTATGCACAATCCGTGATTAGATGCTTTTGACCCTGCGAAATTCCATCTTAGGATAATTGGGAGAGGCCTGTGTTGTCCCGTTAGAACATCCCCATAATTTTAGGGGTTTCATCCAACGCTCATCTTGTACGTGTGGCTATGGCAATCTTTTCCTTATCCGACTGTAGACCTAGCCTAATCAACCGCTGTACAGGTTAGCTAAATCACATTGAAGGTAACTGAGACTGCCTAAAAGCGTTCCCGGAGGAAGTTGCTTAATCAAGGAGTAGTTCGCATTTAATTTTGCAAAATCTCGGAGTGTACTCACGAATAAAATGTTTTGCGTAGTGCGTTGGAGGGCTCAAATTCATTTCGCATCTCTTGATCTTCCCATGAATAAAGGTGGGAATGTCTTGAAATATGAGTGAACACTGAGCTGAGGTGTGGAGCCTCTAGGCCTCTGCTCGAGTTTTGGAATATTATTAAGCTTAGGTTCCCGTTTCCGTCGATCTTGCCAGTAACCGCCACACATCAAATCTGATATCCGTAGCTTTAGAGTCACCGATTCATCATCTAGTGGGAGGTAGTCGGGAAAAGTAAAAAAACACGTTAAAATGAATTCCAATAACCCGGTAAATTATCATTCCGCATAATGATCCTCGTCTTTCCCGGGATTTTTGTTCTCATTTCTATTCGGCATATGTTTTGTTGTGCGCTTTTTTCTCGGCTTAAAAAATGTCTTTTCACTTCCTTTTTCTATTTATTGAATATACAAATGTACAGTCAACTTTCAGGAAGGAGGCTGCGGCTTCATGTGAACCGCGAGAAGTCCCATAGATCATTATAGCAACGTCTACTAAGGAGGCTGTTATCGACTCAATATATTTA